TTTAGGGGGCGAGGTTCCGGGTTCTTTGGGGGTACTTTAGGAACCCATAAACCCTCTAAACCCTAGACCCGAGACCCTAAACCCCAAACCCCAAACCCCAAACCCTAAACCCTAAACCCTAAACCCTAAACCCGAAACCCTAAACCCTAAACCCTAAACCCTAAGCCCTAAACCCTAAACCCTAAACCCTAAGCCAGCGCTCTCGTTGAGGTTTGGGCATCGATTCGGCCACCCTGGCGAGTGCCAAGAAACGTCTGGAGGTGCTCACGACCGAGGCATGGGGCACTTCCGGGGCTGTTCGAGGGGTTAGGGTTTAGGGTTTAGAGTTTGGGGTTTAGGGTTTAGGGTTTAGGGTTAGGGGTTTAGGGATTAGGGCTGCTGGTAGCCCAGTGGTACCCTTTTCTTCCTTTTTTTTGGGTCTACAGTAGCCAACCCAAAAAAGTGTACCCTTGTTACAATGTGGTGTCTGGGCTACTAGGAGGCTGTTCACCGACCTTTTTCTCTTTGCTTGTGAGGGCAAACCCTAAACCCTAAACCCTAAACCCCAAGCCCCAAGCCCCAAGCCCTAAACCCTAAACCCTAAACCCTAAACCCCCCCAAACCCATGAAGCCTAAACCCAAGCCAAGCCAAGAAGTGCTTCCTTCTCGTTACGGAAGTGAGTTCGCCTCTAGTTTAGGCGTAGTCTTCCTTAAACCCTAAACCCTAAACACTAAACCCTAAACCCTAGACCCTAGACCCTAGACCCTAAACCCTAAACCCTAAACCCTAAACCCTAAACCTTTCAGTCCCCGTGGCTTCCTGTGCCAGGAGATGCTCAGAATAGCGATGCGCAACAATGTGACCGGGCACCTGCAGAAATGCTTCCCGGCGGTGGTTTAGGGAATTTAGGGTTTAGGGTTGAGGGTTTAGGGCTTAGGGCTTAGGGTTCTTCAAGGCCCATCCGGTGAACAGTTTCAGTTTAATGGGCTCTGTCATGCATCTGTCATGCACCACAGTTTCAAGGCACTTCTTGAGGAAGTGTTGTGGAGCTTCAGCATCCTCGTTGTGAAAGCTGGCCACTACATGCTCTAAACCCATACATCAACCCCTAAGCCCCTGAACCCCCAAACCCTAAACCCCCAAACCCCAAACCCCAAACCCCAAACCCCAAACCCCAAACCCCAAACCCCAAACCCCAAACCCCAAACCCCAAACCCCAAGCCCTAAGCCCTAAACCCTAAACCCCAAACCCTCAAACCCCAAACCCCAAACCCCAAACCCCAAACCCCAACCCCAAACCCCAAGCCCCAAGCCCCAAGCCCCAAGCCCCAAGCCCCAAGCCCTAAACCCTAATCCCCTCCCCCCGCCCCCTGCAGCTCAGGCATCGACATGGCAGTGTTCCGAAAGGCAGATCCGGAGCTGATCAAGCAGGCCGGGTTTAGGGTTTAGGGTTTAGGGTTTAGGGTGCAGGGAAGTTCAGGGTTTAGGGTTTAGGATTTAGGGTTTAGGGCTTAGAGCTTCGGGCTTAGGGCTTAGGGCTTCGGGCGAATTTTTGAAGAATTGCAAATATCAGCAGAATCGCAGTGAGGCTTTCGACCTGTGGGGAAGAGTTGACGCTGGACCCTCATGGCTGATATCTCTCTATCTCTCTCTTTGTCTCGCTCTCTCTCTCTCTCGCTCTCTCCCTCTCTCTCTCTCTCTCGCTCTCTCTCTCTCTCTCTCCCTCTCCCCCCCGCCTCTTGCTGTTAGAGTGCCTCTCCATCATTCTCCGCACCTAGCCTAGACCCCTGAACCCTAGACCCAAAACCCCAAACCTATATTCATCAGCTGAAATCCAACCTCTAAGACCAAGAGGGGCACAGAACTTGGAAAAGCCGGAAGCCCAACGGACCAAAGGTTTAGGCCCACAGGGCTTCCTTTCAGGGTTAAGGGGCAGGGTTCATGGCTTAGGGTTTACGGCTTAGGGTTTTGCAGTTTAGAGGGTCAGGGGTTTAGGGTTCAGGGGTTTAGGTGTCAGGGTGTTCGCATTGAGGGCTTTGGGCCAGGGATGAATTTTGGATTGCTTTGTGGAAGCAGTCAGAGCTTGGGGTCTAGGGTTCAGGGTTTAGGGTTTAGGGTTTAGGGGCCAGGCGCAGTCGCTGCTGGAGAAGTCCACAGCCGAGCGTTCCCTCATTGCCGCGATGAATAGCCGGGAGGTGCCCTCGGCATTCACATGGAATTTGAACCCCGAAGGGTTTAGGGTTTAGGGTTTTGGGTTTAGGGTTTAGGGTTTCCGTTATCGAGGCCTTTGGGGAGCTTCTTTCAAGAAGCAAGTAGATCGCACTGCCAAAGCCCCTTCAGCCACTAAACCCCTAGAGTCTAAGGGTCTGTCTTGAAAACGGTTCTGAAGTATGGAAGGGGTCCGCTTTTAAGGGCCCATATTACGGGACCATGTAACTACCCCAAGGGTTTAGGGTTTAGGGTTGAGGGTTGAGGGTTGAGGGTTGAGGGTTGAGGGTTTAGGGGAGCCGCTTTTGGGACGTCTTGTCAGATGAGGGTTTGGGGTTTAGGGCTTAGGGTTTAGGGTTTAGGGTTTGGGGTTTAGGGTTTAGGGTCAGACCCCTTGAACCCCCCAAACCCACCCCAAGACATCTAGAATCTAGGGTCTTGGAGTTTGGGTTTAGGGTTTTCGGGGTTGAGGGGTTTAGGGTAGGGTTTAGGATTTAGGGTTTAGGGTTTAGGGTTTAGGGTAACCCTCACCCCTCAACCCTCAACCCTCAACCCTCAGCCCTCAGCCCTAAACCCTCAACCCTAAACCCTAAACTCTACACCTAAACCTCAAAACCCTAAACCCACACCTTTAGGGCGGTGCCCGGATCCAGTGCAGGTCGACAAGCTGACGCAGGCCGTGGAGGATGCGACGAGCGCAGCTTGGCTTGAAGGAGCCTGGTCCAAGACTGACACAAACTCGCATGTGCCAAGCCCTAACCCTAAACCCTAAACCCTAAACCCGAAACCCTAACCCTCAACCCTCAACCCTCAACCCTTAACCCTAAACCCTAAACCCTAAACCCTAAAGTTTAGGGTTTAGGGTTTAGGGTTTAGGGTTTATAGGGTTAGGAGAAGCCCAGGCTGGCCTCCCTGAAGCAGACATCGAGGAAGCGCGGCAGATTCTAGCTGTGGAGCCTTGATTGCAGCTCTGGGTTTTTGGGTTGGGTGCTTACTTAGGAAGGGGGGGGGGGGGGTTGAGGGCTTTGTGAGTTTAGGGTCACCCTAAACCTAGACCCTAACCCTAAACCCTAAACCCTGAACCCTGAACCCTGCACCCTGAACCCTAAACCCTTCTCCTACGGTTTAGGAAACGGTGCACGGGGCCACGCCTTTCACTGTGTAAAGAAGTCAGAGCCGAGGAGCAGGCAAAGGTCAAAGAGCGAGAGAACGTCAAGGCGACGTCTGTGTGTTTTTTCTTTGTTTTTTGTTTGGGGGAGGGGGGGGGGGGTTTGGGGGTATCGGGTTTAGGGTTTAGGGTTGAGGGTTTAGGGTTTAGGTGCTTATAGCCCTAATTATAAGTGTACTTATAAGCCCCCTAAGTCCCCTACGTCCGCCAAGTAGGTTATAAGTAGCCTCATATTTGGGGGGTACAAGAAACCATGAACCTCCAAGTAAGGTTTGGGTCTGAGGGTAGTTTCATGGGCCCGTAACATGGTCCCTTACCCTCGTTAAAGAGTTCTGATGTATGGGCCCTTCATTTGTATAGGGTAATATAAGGGGTACCAATCTAGGGGCCCATACTAAGGGACCGTGTAACTACCCTTAGATTGGGACTTGTGACTTGGGGTTAGGGTTTAGGGTTTAGGGTGTAGGGTTTAGGGTTTAGGGTTTAGGGTGGTTTTGGGGTTTGGGGTTGGGGGTTTAGGGTTTGGGGTTTGGTGTTTGGGGATCAGGATTTTTGGGTTTTTGGGTTTAGGGTTCCTAATACCGAACCCCGACACTTCTGGGACCCAGAAGCAGAGGCAGCGAAATGTCATTCACCCACACATGACGAAAGGCAGGATGGAGGAACACAAGCCGCAGCAAGAATCACACAAAGAAAAACGAAAACCCACACCCAAACAAAGCCACATATTAGCAATATCTAAAGATAGAGAAGGGAGCGAACATGAGCGAACTGTGGAGACATGTTGAAGCCGCGAACAGCAGCAGCCGCAGCAGCAGGCGTGCTCCCATGGTGAAATCAAGCTTTTGGCTGTCCAAGGCTTCCACAGTTCCACCTTAAGAGAGTGCCTTTCAGGCAGAAAGCCTTGCAACCCTAAACCCTGAGCCCTGAGCCCTAAGCCCAAGGCCCTAAGCCCGAAGCCCTAAGCCCTAAACCCTAAACCCTAAACCCTAACCTCCTAGCGCATGAGTCCCAGCCGGAAGCCCTCGGCCCCAAACAACTAGGTGAGGGGCCCTTTGGGGTATAAGGGGGACATACCGGACCCTAAGGTACACCCCTCATGTAGAGTTTAGGGTTTAGGGTTGAGGGTTGAGGGTTGAGGGTTGAGGGTTGAGGGTTGAGGGTTTAGGGTTTAGGGTTTAGGGTTTAGGGTTTAGGGCCCCCAACCGCCCCTCTTTTCCCGGAGGAGAAGCCGCCCAAGGACGAAGTGGAGGAGCGCCTGAGGACGGCAATCAATCTGCAGGAGCGTCCGCATGCCCGGGAATAGGGGAAGGGATTGTGCAGCAACCCTGAACCCTGAACATCCCCCAAACTCTGAGGTTTAGGGTTTAGGGTTTAGGGTTTAGGGTTCAGGGTTTAGGGTTTAGGGTTTGGGGTTTAGGGTTCAGGGTTTAGGGTTTAGGGTTTCGGGCCAGGCCGTGGGCTTGGGCTTAGGGTTTAGGGTTTAAGCCCTAAACCACCCCGCCTCCTCCCTCATCTCGGCATGGGAGGAGACAGGCGCCTTGCTCAAAGCCATCAAGCTCGCCAAGCGTGGCGGCCTCATCTTGTGAAAACCCTCTGGTGGCCATGACCCACAGATCACCTCCTTATCCCCTAAACCCTACTCGGAGGTTCATGGGTACGTATACCCCCAATTATAGCCGAACTTGTAAGCCCCCTAAGTCCCCGAAGTAGGTTATAAGTAGACTTATACCTGCACCCATGAACCTCCAAGTAAACCCCAAGGCCCCAAACCCTAAACCCTAAACCCCATGCCCCAAACCGGTACGCAACCCTAAGCCCCAAACCCTAACCCCTAGCTAAACCCCCAAGCCCTGAAACCTTAACTTATGAAGAACCCCGAGGTTGCTATGGCCACCCTGAGCCCCGAAAGGGTTTGGGGTTTAGGGTTTAGGGTTTAGGGTTTAGGGAGCCCCAAGAGCCACGCCAAGCACGTTAAAACCCTGAGAACCCGTGCAAAAGCCCGAAGAGCCGCAAGAATCCCAAGAGCCCCATATGAGCCCTCGGAAACCCAAGAACCCGAAGAGCTCCCTCCGCCCACAAGACAATCTCGGCAGGCCCTATAGGGCATTTAACTGCATGTTCCCTTCTCTTGGGTTCAAGAGGATCATATTTAGGAGCCTTTCTTCACAGGGTTTTCAGGGCCCCGAAACACTAAACCCTGAAGCGCAAAACCTAAACCCTAACCCCAAAGCCCTAAGCACTAAAAACCTATACCTGAAACTAACCCTATAGACCCAAACCGAACGAAAGGCGCGGATGAGGCCGTGAAGCTCAATCCCGAGTACGCCGTCGGGCGCCGGGTGCCAAGTGGGTAGGTGTGCCCCCTTTCCAGTGATGCACGGAGTTGCTCAACCTGCTTGTCCTGAATGTGAAGACGCCAGCCGAAGATCTCAAGACAGGTACATAGACCTCTGAGGTAAACAAGCCATTCCCCCGCACCAGACAACCCTGAGCCCAAGAAATGCCCGTGCACCCTAGACCCCAAGATAAGAAGCCAGTTCTGAGAGACCTACATCCCGCCGCAGCACCCTAAGCTAGATCAGTGCTAGGGATCCTTTTTACTTTTTGGGTTATGGGCTTTCTTATATATGAACAAAAAGGATCCTTTTTTCTTCCTAGGGGAACAGGGATTAAGTAAGCCCCAAACGCATCCCAAAAACCTCCCTCAAACACAACACTTGCTTCTCCAGTTCTGAACTTCTTCAACCGTACTTCCCAAAAATGACCGTATCGCCTCTTATTTCCTTTAGGATTGGGGTCAGCTAAGCATACCTGCAACTATTCTAGGCGTGTTTTTGTGCATTTCCTTATTGGGTTAAGATGATCTTTTCCAGAGTGTTTTAAGGACCAACCGACTGTGTGCTAGTGTTGGTTCTCCAAAACCCTAACCCTAAACCCTAGAACCCTAAAACCCTAAAACCCTAAAACCCTAAAACCCTAAAACCCTAAAACCCTAAACCCTAAACCCTAAACCCCAAACCCTAAACCCTAAACCCTAAACCCTAAACCCTAAACCCTAAACCCCTCCGAGGCAGCACGCACGAGGCGTCCATTCAGGAGGCCGAGCACCTGGTGGTCCTTTTGGAGGCCTTTGCAGGGGTTGTTTAGGGTTTAGGGTTTAGGGTTCAGGGTGTAGGGTTCAGGGTTCAAGGTTTAGGGTTTAGGGTTTAGGGTTTAGGTTTTAGGGTTGAGGGTTTAGGGTTGGGTTTAGGGTTTAGGGTTAGGGGTTGTTTTGACCATATTTTCAATGCTTTGTACCTTCTCTTTGTGGTGCTTTGTGGTAACTTTAGATCCTTAGCCTTCTTGGGTTTATTGGGTTTCTTGAAAGAAAGGCACCACAGAATTTTATGTTTTGCCACCCTACTAAGTGCAGCCAAGTCCTCATCCCTGTATAGTCCTTATAAAGCCATAGAAGTTAGATTTTTCATAGGGCCCCCAAACCTACCCTGATTAGGGTTAAGGGGGTGTAGGGTCTTAGGAAGAAGTAGTTTATGTGTGTATGGGTTCTTTTTTTTTTCGGAACTTGAGTTACCAAAATCAGAATGTCAGTTACTTTTATGATGACGGTAGCTGATCTTGGGTCTGAGGTCCGATTTTTGGACTTTCGACCCAAAACCCCACAAACCCCAATAGCTCCCGAGCCCTGGCTTTTAAGTAGGGTTGAGAACCCCTAAGCCCCCTTAAGCCTAAATCCCAAACCCCAAGCCCCAGATCCCTAAACCTGTGGATGTTCCAGTCCTTACAGTAAACTCCAGAAAGTTGGAACATGGTTTAAGGATGATTAGAGCTGGGATTCCCTTTAGTATACCTGTTGGGGTGTGGAGATCAGGATGTTCCAACTTTTGGGGGTTGTTGTAATAGGGATCACAATAGGGGGTGCTACAATCCCTCTTGAAGACTGTTAGTACAAGGCGGGACATCCCAACCTAAACCCCAACCCCCCCTAAACCCCCAAACCCTTCAGCTTCATTAAACCCTAAACCCTAAACCCTAAACCCTAAACCCTAAACCCTAAACCCTGAGCCCTAAACCCTAAACCCTACACCCTAAACCCTAAACCCTAAACCCTGAACCCTAAACCCTAAACCCTGTGGGAGCCCGGTAGTGCCCTGTGAGGTGGACATGCAGCTTCCTCGGGCCATTCGTAGCAAAGACCAGCAGAAGCTGAAGGCCCCCACGGCTCAGAGAGATGGTTTAGGGTTTAGGGTTTAGGGTTCAGGGTTTAGGGTTTAGGGTTGAGGGAGCTGACGGTTGAGAGTATAGGTTTAAGGGTTTAGGGTTTTTAGGGTTTAGGGAGTTGACGGTTGAGGGTTTCAGGGTTTAGGGTTTAGGGCTTGAGACAATGCCTCTCACATTTATCGGCTGCGAGCTTTACTAGCCCCGCCCCCCCCCCCTGCCCGGCCCCCCCCCCCGCCCCCGCCCCGCCCCCCGCCGCCCCCCCCTCCGCCCCCTCCCGCCCCTCCCGCCTCCTCCCCGCCCCCATCCCACCCCCCCCCCCCCCCCCCACCCCCCCCCCGCCCCCCCCCCCCCCCCCGCCCCCCCCCGCCCCCCCCCCCCCCCCCCGCCCCCCCCCCCCCCCCCGCCCCCCCCCCCCCCCCGCCCCCCCCCTCCCCCCCCCCCCCCCCCAAAAAAAAAAAACTGCTCAGCTCCCCCTCAACCCTAAACCCACGTGCACAAGTGCGGGCACGGGCTGAAGGGGTCTGTGGGCGTGTGGCGGGAAGACATGCGGGGGGGTTCAGGGCTTCGGGTTTCGGATGCAGGGTCATTCTTCCAGAAGGGCCCATACTAAGGGCCGAGTCAAAGTTGTGGGGGGGGGGTTCGATCTGCTGGGATACAGCCTGAACCCGAAACCCTAAGCCCGAAGCCTTAAGCCCCAAGCCCTAAGCCCTAAACCCCAAACCCTAAACCCTAAACAGAATAGACCCTAAACCCTATAAACCCTAAGCCCTAAACCCTAAGCCCCAAACCCAGGCAGTGCTGACGAAGGCAAAGACATGGCACATCGACACTGAGGAGGTCGAGCAAGGCGAAGACAGGGCTTTCGGTTTTGGGGGCTTAGGGTTTAGGGTTTCGGGTTTAGGGTTTAGGGTTTAGGGTTTAGGGTTAGGGTTTAGGGTTTAGGGTTTAGGGTTTAGGGTTTAGGGTTTAGGGTTTAGGGTTTAGGGCTTGGGTCTCAGGTTTAGACTCTACAGCAAACCCGAAAAGAGGGGTTTAGGGTGCAGACGTGGGTTTAGGAGTTGGGCTTGGAAGGTTGGGGGGTTTGGGGGGTTTGGGGACTTGGGCTACAGACAGGCAGTCTGGAAGGTTCACTTTGGAAAGCACTTGCCTTCCGAAGCGTCGCTTGGGAGTCCTTACCGTGCCCTAAAACCTAGAGCTGTATATTCCTAGGATGCCCAGTAGTGCCCTTATTCCCTTTTTGGGGGGTTTAGGTTCCCTTATCAACCCCTTTAAGCAAAAAAGGGTACCCTTTTTAAGCCTAGGCTACTGGGCAGCCTAGATTCTAAAGCCTGAACCCTGAACTCCAAACCTTAAACGCTAGAAACCCATGTAACCCGCGAAGCTCTGCAAACGTGCCGAAATTTGGTGAACCTCATTATACCTGAAGCTTCTAAGCCTACGTCACCCCGTTGTAAGGTGAGCTCTCTTTTTCTTTCAATGGATTTCGCCGCACGCGATCCTTTGAGTGAGTCAAGCCTAGGGAGCATTCAGGACCATTCGGGATGACTGCGCAACCACAAAAGCCCGAAGCTTAGAACCTATACCCGAAACCTATACCTCAAGACCCTAGGCCGCGAACCCAAAACCCCAAACCCTAAACCCTAAACCCGAAACCCTCAACCCTAGACCCCAAACCCTAAACCCTAAACCCTATGCCCCCTAAATCCGCCCTGTGACGAGAGGCCAGCAGCTTCTGACGCAGATCGAGGCAGATGAGGCTTTACGGCTAGCCATGGCCAGCAAGAGCCGCTTTGGCTCAAGGGTCAGAATAGGTACTAATACTATTCCCTTATGGTCCCTATATAACTATACTGAAATTACACTAGAACAATCCTTCAGCACCCTATTCTAATTATTAAGGTCCCCTACATTATTCGGCATCACAGGCTTCTCAACATGGTAAATCTACTTGGAGGTTCATGGTACTTACTAACCAGTTATAACTGTACTTGTAACCCTACTTATAATACCCCTAAAGGGCCTTATAGGGGTTATCCCACTTATAAGTAGGGTTATAAGTACAGTTATAACTGGTTAGTAAGTACCATGAACCTTCAAGTAGATGACTGTGTAGGGCTTCCGGTTTGGGGATCTTCAGCTTGGCAGGATTGTGAGCTTAGCACTTCTTCTCCCTAATCCCTAATCCCTAAACCCTAAACCCTAAACCCTAAACCCTAAACCCTAAACCCTAAGCCCTAAACCCTAAACCTTAGTACAAAAAGCAAGAAGCAAGTGCCTGGAGCTTGGCTCAGGAGTCAGGTCAGGGTCTGTTTGGCTTGAGGATCATGCGTGTAGACTCTATCTTGGGATGTTCCCCCTTATGCTAACAGCTCCTGAATAGGGCTTCTAATAGGGTTTAGGGTTTAGGGTTTAGCCTTTAAAAAGTCCAGTGTTTAGGGTCCAGGGTTCAGGGTTTAGGGGTTTAGGGGTTTAGGGGTTTAGGGTTATAATCCCCATTAAGGACTGTTAGTAAAAGGGGGAACATCCCAAGCTGCACACTCTGTCTCTAAACTCTAAACCTGAAACCCTCAAACCTAGACCAGCTCGAGCTACTTCTCGTTCTTCTTTCGGATTTCCCATTTCAGCTGCGGCCTTCAAACAATTCCTTAAACTCTAAACCCTAAACCCTAAACCCTAAACCCTAAACCCTAAACCCTAAACCCTAAACCCTGAACCCTCGCATTCCAAGGCGAGGAGCAGCTGGTCGCCGCACTGGAGCAGGCCCGTCTGCCTCAGACTGCCAGGGTTTAGGGTTTGGGGTTTAGGGTTTCGGGTTTAATTTTTAGGGTTTGGGGTTTAGGGTTTAGGGTTTGGGGTTTAGGGTGCAGGGTCTAGGGCTAGGACCCACAGTAGGCCCTTATTCCCTTTTTGGGGGCTTTAGCTTCAAGGGCACGCTGTTTTATTCCTGGGTTCCTCTTGGGTGTAGTGACGGCCTCAGGCTTTGCAGGAAGCTCGGAGGGCATTAGCCAGCAAACAAGTGACTTTCTTCAGATCTTGCCCTACGCCCCCTTCTTTTTGGTTCTGGGATCCCCTTGTAAAGTATCCAACACCAAAAGGGTTCTCTTACCCTGAGAGTTACCCTAAACCCTAAACCCTAAACCCTTACCCGAAAAAGGGCACCCTTGGTGTGGATTTGATATGAAGTAGGGTTTACATTACTGTTATTGGTGAGTGTATATACTTGGCGTCCTTTTGGGGATACAAGGAATGTAAACCCTACTTCATATCGTGCCTGGGCTTGCCAAGAAGCTTCCGTCATGAGGCTCATCAGTCTGGCGCAGACCGTCTGAGGCTTCTCGGGCAGGGTTTAGGGTTTAGGGTTTAGGGTTTAGGGTTTAGGGTTTAGGGTTTAGGGTTTAGGGTTTAGGGTTTAGGGTTTAGGGTTTAGGGTTTAGGGTTCAGGGTTTAGGGTTTAGGGTTTAGGGTTTAGGGTTTAGGGTTTAGGGTTTAGGGTTTAGGGTTTAGGGTTTAGAGCAACTCAAGTGTCCCCCCGGTAGACGCAACTCTGAGCACTTTGCCTCAGTATCATGTCAGTCTATCGGACGTGTGGAGAAACATGTCTGAACCCTTCGTGGCCCGAAGACCCACACCATCAAACCTGCTTGCGACCCCACAAGACCTCCACATTACCCCTCCCCCCCCCCCCCCCCCCCCCAAATGCAGAGGCCCAACCCCAAAGCCCAAAACCCCAAAGCCTTGAACCCTAAACCCCAAAACCCTAAGCCCTAAACCCTAAACCCTAATCCCCCCTCCACCCCCAAGGATCCACAAGGCCGAGGGGATGGTCGCGCTGCTGCGCGGCCTTCGGGAGCTGCGAGAAGCCACCGAGAGCAAGGAGAGGTTTAGGGTTTAGGGTTTAGGGTTTAGGGTTTAGGGTTTAGGGTTTAGGGTTTAGTATTTAGGGTTTAGGGTTTAGGGTTTAGGGTTTAGGGTTTAGGATCTTCGGAGCCTTAGGGGTTTACTGTGGGGGTTAATTAGGGTTTAGGTCCTTGAGGGGTTTTAGGTGTTTCGGTCTTGGAGGCTTAGACCTTGTCTTTAGCTATAGCTGGTTTGGAGCTTGGGCTGTAGGGTTCCCTAAACCCTAAACCCTAAACCCTAAATCCTAAGCCCTAAACTCTAAACCCTAAACCCTAAACCCTAAACCCTAAACCCTAAACCCCTGCTTGAGTTTCAATGTTCGAGATTCCAGGACCCCGACTGGATGGAGCAGGCCATACAGCAAGCGAAGGAGTCAGGTGTCCCAAGGACCGAGGGTTTAGGGTTTAGTTTGTAGGGCCCATCAACCCACAAACCTCCTAGGGTTTATGATTATGGGTTTAGACCCCAGAAACCCTGCCGGCAGTCTTGTTTCTATTCCTCAATATCCCTCAGAGCGTGCTTGCATGGGGGCTCCTCTGTTCGGGGTAAAGGAAATTGATGGCGCGACCGGGGCGGGCATCCCTCTCGGTGTTTTCCGGTGGGCCCCTACTCCTTCACCAAGGCCCCGCTGAGTGGCTTGAGACGCTCCTGGGCGCTGTGCGCTCCGGGGCGCGCACGCGGGGCATCGCGGCAAGCACCAAGTCACGCTCTCGCCTCAGTCCCTGGGGCCCTCCGTGAGGCTTGCATCGCTCTTTGTCGCGACGCGTGACGTCCTTTCCTGCCCTCTTCGCTCCTCGGACACCTTGAACTCGTGCGTCCGTTTGTGGCGCTCCTCCAACGGTTCTTGTGCGCATCGTCGCTTTTGGCCCCTTCAAGCGCTCTCGAGGTGGCCTTGGCGGTCTCGGAGTGGTCTTCATCACGATACTTGGAGGTTCAGGGCACTTCTAACCCGAATCAGAACTGTACTTAAAAGCCCCCTAAGCCCCCGAAGTCCCCCAAGTAGGGTATAAGTAGACTCATAATTGGGGTTATAAGTAACCATGAACCTCCAAGTAGTGATGGGGAAGTGCATGGTCTTGGGGTGCTCTGGAAGTGGTCTCACGCTGTTGGCATCTATGCCGGTACAAACCCTACACCTTGGGGAACATAAATGTGTCTCTAAGGGGGGGTTTAGGGTTTAGGGTTTAGGGTTTAGGGTTTAGGGTTTAGGCCCCTCCTTCGCGGGCAGTTCCCACGGAAAGGGTTGCTGCCGGTCTCCCACGATCTAGGTGGTCTCGGAGACTGCCATGTCGACAAAAAAGCATGATGACACCGCGGGCAGACCTTGAACCAAGAACCCCAAAAGCCCTAAGCCCTAAAACCAAGACCCTGCTAGCCCTGAGCCCTGAAACCCTGTTAATCCTCGACCTGAAGCCAAAAACCCGATTAACCCTGAAACCCTAAACCCTAAACCCTAGATCCTAAACCCTAAACCCTAAACCCTAAGCCCTAAACCCTAAACCCTAAACCCTAAACCCTAAACCCTAAACCCTAAACCCTAAACCCTAAACCCTAAACCCTAAACCCTAAACCCTAAACCCTAAACCCTAAACCCTAAACCCTGAACCGTACGTAAAAGCCCTACGCGAGGACGGAGATCAGCAAAGCTGAAGGCCTCCTCAAGTCTCTCACGCGGAGCGTGCCAGCCCGGGCCCTAGGTGTGTAGGGTTTAGGGTTTAGGGTTTAGGGTTTAGGGTTTCGGGTTTAGGGTTTAGGGTTTAGGGTTTAGGGTCCCTGTTTGGAGGAGCATTTCGGACGTTGGAGGTTCAGGCTTAGGATGGTCGCAGGTTGAGGGTGGGGGTTAGAGTCAGAGTAGCTTGCGAACTAGGATTGATTGGGTTTGGGGAAGATTTGAACAAGGGGGTATTCATGTTAGGGCATATTGGGGTTTATGATGGGTATAGGGAAGATTTCAACCAGAGGGTATTCTTATTAGGGTGTATTGGGGTTTATGATAATAAGGGACTGCTACTACAGAACCCCAAAAAGTAGGATCCCCTTATAATTAACAAGGACCCCTACTATAGACCCCCAAATAGTAGGATCCCCTTATGACCCAGACCCCTGGGAGGATCCAAAACGTAGAACCCCCAACTAGCACCTTTTCCACTATTGGGTCATTGTTAGGATCCTTAAGGGGATCTACTTTTTCTGAACCCTTCCAGTAATCTGGGAATAAGGACCCCAATAATACCCTAAACCCTAAACCCTAAACCCTACACCCTACACCCCAAACCCTGAACCCTAAACCCTAACCCCCCAAACCCTAAACCCTAACCCGCCCTAAACCCTAAACACTAGACCCTAGACCCTAGACTCTAGACCCTAGACCCTAAACCCTAAACCCTAAACCCTTGAAGGGCTTCAGGTCTTCAGGCGTTTAGAGTCTGAGGGTTCCGGGACCCCAAACTCCTCAAATCCGATTGTTCAGTACATGCTGCAACCATTCTCTAGATGGTGGTCCCTGTTTTCGGTACTCTAAACAGTAGGGGATGCCAATTCAGGGAAATCACCATGTCTATGCTGAAATTACAGCTGTTCCATATCAGCAACCAAAGTAGTTTAGCTACGTGGTCCATGGCACAAAAGGCGGCCATGAGGGTGAAGGTACAGGGCATGTGTGAGCGCACGGGCGCTTTACACTGTTGTGTACAATGGATCCGGCGTTTGTTGCCAACACATGGTTTCAGGCGAAGATGAGGGAAAGACCCTAAGCCCCAAATCCTAAACCCTAAACCCTAAGCTACTTGGGCTTCGCTCAAGACTTGATCTTTTGCAATTCATGTTTTCAGGGCTCAGAGTGAAAACAGCAGCTTGAGCGCTCTAAATACCAGTGTTCTGGGCATGTTCGCGCAAAAGGGTATGAATGCCTGTGACCTCGTGACACGTCAAAGATCTTGTGCCGTATTTTGTAGAAAGAGGCAAGTACGCTGTAACCTTCAGTTTTCTGGCATAGTCGCTACAATATGTGAATGGACGTTATTGGCTTTCCCCCCCTCCCCTCCCCCGCCCCCTCACCCATCCGGAAGAAGCACCAAGCAATACCGTTGGACCACGGCCGTCTACGCGCCATGGTCCAACCACTGTTGCTCTTGTCTTAACATCTTCCGCTGCTCGTGTGCCTCCCTTCGCCCTCAACCCTCAACCCCAGACCCTAGACCCCAAACCCTAAACCCTAAAGAAGGCCCACACCCGAACGACTCTGTCTCGGGGGTGGCTGAGTTCTGCCTCAGTTTTGGTATCAGGGCGCGCGAATCGTTGTAGGGCAAGAAAGGGAAGGATCCCAAAACCGCAAAACCCCAAACCCCTGTACCCTAACCGCTGGAGCAGCTCCCCCGAGGTAAGCCGAATGGGGAGCAAGCTTGTGGACGAGGACCGGCCGCCGCTCAGCCGACAGGGAAGCAAGTTGGACGACCGGCCGCCATTGAGCCGACAGGGAAGCAAGTTCGTGCACGAGGAGAAGCTGCCTAGGATTCTGGTGACTTAAGGTGTAAGTTCGAGATTCAGGTTTAGGGGTCAGGGTTGAGACTGCTCTAGGCTTCTGCAGCCCTACTATACATAGTTCTAGGGTTTCAACCCCCAGGCCGAAGCTTTGCGGTGTGGGTTTCTGTGCTTCGGTGTTAGGAGCCCTAAGCCCTAAGCCCTAAGCCCTAAGCCCTAAGCCCTAAGCCCTAAGCCCTAAGCCATAAACCCCAGACCCTAAACACTAAACCCTTAACCCTAAAACCCTAAACCCTGAAACCCTGAAACGCTAAACCCTAAGGCCTAAACCCTAAGGCCTAAACCCTAAAAACCCTAAACCCTAAACCCTAAATCCTGGGTCAAGTTTAGAGTTGGGAAGTAAAGAGCACCCAGGGCTGACGGAGAGTCCTGGATGTAGCTAACTCCTCCGAGATCTTCCAAACTGTTTGTAAGGCCGCGAATTTAGAAGAAGGACAGTCCAGTTAGGGTTTAGGGTTTCGGTTTTCGGGTTTAGGGTTTAGGGTTTTCGGGTTTCGGGTTTAGGGTTTAGGGTTTGTTTAGTAATTCAGGGTTTAGGGTTCAGGGTTCAGGGTTTAATTAGGGTTTGCGCGCCCGTTTTTTGGCTGCGCCCGCCGAAGGCGGTGCCATGTCAGCTGACAAGCATCTGCGCGAGTGGGATTGCTTCAGGGGACCCGAGGGTGGATTTGGGGATGTAGAGTTTTGGGTTTTGGGCATACTTGGAGGTTCATGATACCCACTAACCAAATAGTAGTTTGCACTTATAGCCCAACTATCACCATATTGGGGTAATGAAGGGGCTTAGAAGTTGTAACTTTGTAACTGGTTATTAAGTACCACGAACCTCAAGTAGGGGTCATGACACTCCAGCCCAGATGAAGTTTACGGGGTTGACATGTACCCTAAACCCTGAACCCTAAACCCTAAACCCTAAACCCTAAACCCTAAACCCTAAACCCTAAACCCTAAACCCTAAACCTTGGTTTGTGGGGTCCCCTGACCTCAGCGTGGCCTGAGGCCCTTGATGGCCAGCTCCCCTTTTGTTTGGGACGCCAGGGTGTGCCTAAGCCCAAGCCTCCTCCCCCCCCCGAGTTCCTTAAACCCCTAGAAGCCCTAATGGCAAGCCGGAACAAAGGCACAACACCCAAACCCTGAACCCTGAACCCTGAACCCTGAACCCTGAACCCTGAACCCTGAACCCTGAACCCTGAACCCTGAACCCTGCACCCTGAACCCTGAACCCTGAACCCTAAACCCTAAACCCTAAACCCTAAACCCTAAACCCTAAACCCTAAACCCTACTGTACGAACCCAAAGCCCTGCAAACCACCAAGCCCCAATTCTGTAAATGAGTCCCCGGCGAATGCTGGGAAGTCGGCCCGTTGCGCTGCTACTTGGGGAACCCATGGACTCTATCCCTCTTGGGAATGATCTTTTTGCTAAAACCCTAAACCCTAAACCCTAAACCCTAAACCCTAAACCGAAACCCTAAACCCTAAACCCTAAACGCTAAACCCTAAACCCTAAACCCTAAACCCTAAACCCTAAACCCTAAACCCTAAACCCTAAACCCTAAACCCTAAACCCTAACAAATATTATTCTTTTTAAGAGTTCTAAGGGGAGTATAGTGGGGAACCCATGGAGAGGCTTACGACCCGCGCCATGGTCCAAGCCTTCAACCCGAAACCGTAAGGTTTGGGTTTCAGGGTTCAGGGTTCAGGGTTCAGGGTTCAGGGTTCAGGGTTCAGGGTTTAGGGTTTAGGGTTTAGGGTTTAGGGTTTAGGGTTTAGGGCTTAGGGCTTAATTAGGGCTTATAGGGTTTAGGATTCCACCCCAAACCCCAAGAAAAGTCCCACACCCCGCTTGAAGCCCGAAACGCTGGATTAGAGCCTAGATCCTAAACCCTTACCCCCACAACAGATCGTTGCCTTTGAGAACTCCGTCGGAGTTCCCCAAAACATGCGCTGGGTCAGTGGCGTCAAGCTGCGAGAAACAGCCTCTGTTACGATCCCTTGTGCTACGCCCTGCTCGCAAGGGGACGATAGCTTCGAGAGCCTGCCCATGCCCGTCTGTCCCCGACCCTCAACTCTAATGAAACCGGAAGCGCGCACGAAATCCTCAACCCAATGCCTGCCCACATTCTTGTACCCTGTCCTACGTATACACCCTGATACACCCTGAAACCCGAAACCTGAAACCCGAAACCCTAAACCCTAACCCTAAACCCTAAACCCTAAACCCTAAACCCTAAACCCTAAACCCTAAACCCTAAACCCTAAACCCTAAACCCTAAACCCTAAACCCTAAACCCTAAACCCTAAACCCTAAACCCTGCAGCCCAACCACCAACATGCGGACGTCTCAATGTCACGGCAAGGCCGTCCTGCAAGCAGTCTCGCATGCCAGTGGCCTCAGTTCTGGGGCTGGTGGGAGAGGCTTCAAGCACTAAGACTCTAATAAACCCGAAACCCTAAACCCGAAACCCTAAACTTAAACCCTAAACCCTAAACCCTAAACCCCAAACCCTAAACCCCAAACCCGAAACCCTAAACCCTAGACCCTCTGGGTAGAAATATAGAGTCCCAGATGGGACCCGAAACTAACAGGAACAGAGCCCATGCGGACTCTCGGGGGCGTGGATGTCCAGGGCCGAGTTTAGGGTTCAGGTAGGTTTAGGGTTTAGGGTTTAGGGTTTAGGATTTAGGATTTGGGGTTTAGGGTTTAGGGTTTCGGGTTTCGGGTTTAGGAATTCGGGTTTAGGAATTAGGGTGGGTTTAGGGTTGCGGGTTTGGGGATTGGGCTCGGGGGTGTAAAAGTGCCAGGCTTGGGCGTGTTTTTTTTTGTCCCGCGTTTCTGGCATTGAGGGGCTCCATGCGATCCATACCCTCGACCCTCAACCCCCCACCCCGATACCCTAGAGACCTCATACCCTAGACTCTATACCGTGCACCTACACACCCTAAACCCTACACACCCTGAACCCTCCACATCCTAAACCCCTAGCCCTAAACCCTAAACCTCAAACCTCAAACCCCAAACCCTAAACCCTAAACCTCAAACCCCAAACCCCAAACCCTAAACCTCAAACCCTAAACCCCTAAAGCCCCACACGAAAACAAAACAGCTTGCCGCAGCTTTTGACGGTCCGAGGACCGGTCCGAGTTGGCGGCCACGTACAGACACGCCAACAAGGAGCTCTGCAGGTCCTCGGGCCCATTCAGGGCTTTTGGGGGTTTTAGGGCTTTAGGGTTTCAGGGTTTAGGGGGTTTTAGGGGTTTAGGGTTTAGTTTAGGGTTTAGGGTTTAGGGGTTTAGGGGGGGTTTTGGGGTTTAGGGGTTTAGGGTTTAGGGTTTAGGGTTTTTAGGGTTTTAGGGTTTTAGGGTTTAGTGTTTAGGGTTTAGGGTTTAGGGTAGATTAGGGGGTGTAGGATTCAGGGTTTGGGGTTCGGGGCGCAGAGTCTTTGGTTCCCTAGACCCCTTACAACTTGAGGCCTATTGCAACTCCAAATCCCTGAGCCCTCAAAGCCTCTAGTCGCAACCCCCTCCTCCCCCCCAAGAAGCAAACAAAACCTTAGGGGGCGGGAGGGGGGGAGGTTGAGGACTCAAGGCTTTGAGGGTTCGGGGTTGCAAAAGGCCTCAAGTTGGAAGGGGTTTAGGGCCCTGCGCCCCCAACCCCAAACCCTAAACCCTACACCCCCTAAACCTATCTACCCTAAACCCTAGGCCCTAAGCCCTAAGCCCTAAACCCTAAACCCTAAACCCTAAACCCTCAAGAACCCAACACTAAGCTTGTGGGAAGCCCTGCAGCGTAGGCTGCGCGCGGAACTTTCGGAGCGCACGGTGCAGCTCCTGGAGCTCCGCCAGGAGACGGTTTTGAGGGCTTCTGAGGGTTAGGGTTTAGGCTGTAATTTACCCTAAGCCCTAAACCCTAAACCCTAAACCCTAAACCCTAAACCCTAAACCCTAGACCCAAAATTTAGAGGGTTTAGGGTTTCTGAGGGTGTCTTAAGGTTCCTCAGGTAATTTTGCTTGGGACTAGGGTGTTTTGTCTCGGCTGTAGGGTACCCTAAACCCTAAACCCTAAACCCTAAACCCTAAACCCTAAACCCTAAACCCTAAACCCTAAACCCGAAACCCTAAACCCTAAACCCCAAGGGCGCTGCTGGGGGGGGGTGGGGTCTTAGGCCTTCTGTTGTTTCTTTGTTCGGGTTTCTTGGGGCTCAGAGTTTCTTGTCATCCAGAAGGGCCTTTATGAACGGAGGGTTTAGTTTCGGGTTTGAGGGTTATAAGGCTTGGGGGTCTAGGGCATAGGGTTGGCTCTTTTTTTTTTGGGGGGGGGGGGGGGGGGGGGGAGGCAGGGCGTTTTGGGCTTAGCATCCCGTGTCTTCGCGGATGGTCGGGCAGGTGGCATTTGGGGTTAAGCTCAGAGAAGGTCTCTCCACTGCATGCAGGAGAGCAATGTGGCAAATCAGTTGGCGTGCGCCTTCCTGCCATGCTGTCCTATCCAGCAGACGGTCCCCACCACACTCACATACCACACTCTTAAGCCCTTCAGCCCTGAGACCCTAAGCACACACCCGAGAAGCCGGGTCGGCCAACAAAAGCCAACAAAGCCTCCAACATGTCGGTGATATCGGGGCTGATCACCCCATAGAATTACCTGTGCTGGAAAGGACTTTTGATGGGTCATAGCTCCCGAACTCGGCAACCCGACGTTGCTCAACCCCAAGCTTGTACATCCCTAAACCCCAAACCCTAAACCCCGAAGATTAACCCAGCACTACGCAACCAGGGCCAGAAGTAAGCAACATCCCAGGAGTATGACCGTTGGCGGCGGCGGCAGGTTCAAAATCATTGCGTCGCCTGCAGCTCAGGGTTGCGGGGTTTAGGGTCCAGGGTTTAGGGTTCCCTCCCCCCCCTGTGCACCCCCAGACAGCTCTGTCTAAACCAAACCCACATCTTAAACTACCAGGGACGAAACGCCGAAACCTCTAAACCCTCAATCCC